AAAATTTACAAATGTTATTATTATATTTTGAAAAAAAATTTAGACTTTAGAGTTTTGTATAAGATAGATAAAGGATAAGTTAATTCCCGTCATATATGCATTGAGTTTTGGGTGTCCTATCTGGTTCACCCTTTGGGCTAATCCAGATTTGAGGATCAATTCTAGGTTATTAGGTTTCATTCCCCTTCCAATTGTTGTTGCAGGGGAGCGAACACAGGTCCTCCCTACCAAGTGTAGTCTCAATCACCGCTACACCAACAACCAATTGGTGTAGTGGTGATTGGGACTACACTTGGTATGGAGGACACGTGTTATAAAACTATTATATTATATACATATACTTTTTTATATTATAAAAAAATATTATATTATATACACATACTATTATAGTTAAAAGTATTATTATGTATAAAACAACATAAATTATTGCACATGATTGTTGTATATCTAGTATAGTACATGAGCAATGCACGATTTTTAAATCAAAATGTTAGTTTTTCTAAAAAACATTCATAAATAATAGCATTGTTAATACGAATATTACAATTTAAAACACAAGTAATAGTTACAATTTATATCTATCCCTTTTCAGTCAAATGTCAAATTCAATTTAACTTTTATTCTTCTTGTTAAGATTAGTTATTGGTTCAGTTTTTTTTTTTTTTTTTTTTTTTTTTTTTTTTTTTTTTTTTATGTAAGAAAAACAAAAGGTCATTGTAAAAGACATTATATAGAAAATGAAAGGCCGGTTAAAATTAAATTTATGTTCAAGATTATGTATTTTTTTCCAAGACAACATTTCGATCGGCTCAGCATTCAGTATTTGTCAAGGAGTACAACAAACGATAAAAGTAATTTTTACTCTATTTTGTATCTTTATCAAAAACTTTTGTATTCATCGGATTACTTGAATTGAATTTAGGATAACTTGTAAACTATTTTGGGTAAATTTTATCAATAAAGCATAAATAACTTTCATTCATTACAGGGTAGCTTTTATAATAGGTGCACAATATTTTATTGTACATTTGATTTTTTTAAATGTTTGTATTGATTTCATAATTGACGTCAAACTAAATTCTATCGATTTTATTTAATTTTCATAAAAAAAAAACAATATTAGCCTTTCAAAATACGAAATATTTGTTTCCTTAATTATACCACTTTAATCATATTGCTTCAAATTAATTATTATTCTTTAACTTACTATAAATAAAGATTGGAAAGACTATATGGATTATTTGTAGTATTGGAAAGTATATATTTATTATAAAAAAATTAAATCAATATTTATGTTAGGAAATCATGAAAATCTTATGCATGTATAGAAACTTGCTTTTATGGTTTGAAGTTTAACAAAAATAACTATATGCTTGAATATGTAAACAGTAATTATATAGATAGATATGCTTATATAGTATCATTATATGCATTCGTTTATACATACGTGTAATTACATAAATACCCTTTGTTATACTTTTCTACATGCATAACATTTCTCCCTTTAAAATCCTTATTCATTCACTTGAACTTATTAAACTTACTCCCTTCTTCCCCGAAAGAACGACCCATTCGGGTTGATTACGCGGGTATTAAGAAAGTTAAATAAAAAGATGTAAAAGTATATTGAAAAGATAAATTTACATAGGGTTGATTAGGTCAAATGGGTCGTTCTTTCGAGGACGAAGGGAGTAATTAAATTTGAAAAGTTTTATTTTTACTTATTTATTTTTGTATGGTGAATGAACATAAACCTTTAATGTGTATTTTTTTTTCTTGTCTTTTTTAAGAATTTGAATAAAACTTTTTTTTTTAAAGTTTGTGCTATTATTTTTTTTCATTTAATAATGTTATATACGCTGAGAGTATATTCAAAGATAATACAATCAAGGTGTATTGGAAGATAGTGGTAAGAAATGATGGTTGACTTAGTATTAAAAAAAAATCAATTAAGTCATATTTTTTCTATGTAATAAAGGGAGTAATGATCTTTAGTGATTGATTGAAAGATAGAGTCATGAGTGAATGGTGAGTCATACTGCAAACAGAAGGAATATTATCATATCCTTATTATTTTTCATTGAGAATTCGATTTTATCAATAAACCTTAATTAATCACAATTAGTCAGTAAATAAGTATAATGATATTAGACATAGGTAAAATAAAGGATCAAAAGTTTTGGGTTAATTTTTAAATTACCACCTAAAAATGTATCCATTTTCAAAATAATCACCCGGTTAAATTTTTATTTTTATTTTATCACCCCTTAAATTCAAAAATACTCAGATTACCATCCATTTTAAAATTTCGGTGGACTTCTCTTATGTGGGCCCCACCTAACGACTCTTAGTGGTAACAAGAAGAAAATGATCAGTAGTAGTGGCAATTCAGATAACAAGCTCTTGGTTTTTTTAGTTGTTTTCTTTTGGTTTTAGGTTGTCTTGTACTTAATAAACAGGTTTAAAGGGGAGATGGAGTGAAGACATGGTTGATTGTAATGCTTAGACATAATAGTTTCTAGCCATTAGGTAGGTCCACATACCAGAAATCCACCGGAATTTTGCAATGAGTGGTAATCTGAGTAGTTTTTTTAACTTAGGAGGTGGTAAAATAAAAAAATTAAAAAAAAAAATTAAACTGGTTGTTATTTAAAAAATGGATACATTTTCTTGTGGTAATTTAAAATATTTCCAAAGTTTTTTGTTTATTCAGAGAAGAGCTGCTGAAACTTGCTACTGTTTTTTTTTTTTATTTCCTAGTATTAGAGATAGTTTTCTCAGGTCAGATTTATTTCAACTCGCGTCTGCGGTATATAAACTCTTATCATAATATATTGAATCAAATTTGTGGTCTAAGAAATGCTGATTGTTTATGCAGCTCTGGATAATCATGGTTACTTTAGTCTTAATTATCTTCTCAGCTTGCTGCACAATATCTGCTGCTACTGCTCTAATCTTCTTCGATGTGAGCATGAGTGGGACTGCTGTAATTCAGACTTAGACCTCTCTAAAGCATAACAGCATAATTACAACCTTTGACATTAAAGATTGGAAAATTTGTTTGAAAGGTACTTATATGTTGACCTTTTTGCAAAGAAGCACTTTATATGTTCAAAGTGGTGAAAAGGTCCTTATAAGTCACATCAAAATATGATCATGGACTTTACTTTTCCGGTGTTGACCATTACGCATGTGTCATGTGATTTTTTAAAAAGTCCCTTTCGTTCATTTTTTCCCCACGTTTTTACATTCTCTTTCTTTCTTTTCCCGAATTTTCTCTCAAAATTCCTACTCTTTCCTCAAAATCATGGGAAAAAAATAAAGAAAAGATATTTTTTTAAAGATCACGTGCATGTCAAGTGATAGTCAATGCCGAAAAAGTGAAATCAATGGTCATATTCCGATTTTTAGGTCCCTCCTTACAACAAAAATAACTTATAAGGACCTTTTTCACCACTTTGAACACAAAATGTCCTTTTTCACAAAAAAATAAGCATATAAGTACCTTTTAGACAAATTTTCCTTAAAGATTTAATACATTTACAAAGAAATATGAACTAAAATTTTCGTGGATTCCTTAGGTTTCTTGTCCTTTGATAATTGGAATATCCTAGGTGTTTGGTCCAAGGAATGGGGGTAGATGATTAAAACTAAGATGATTTTGCTGAAAACGAACAAAAGTTTGTACAACCTAGGAAAGGAAATAAGTGGGAAAAAGAAATATTCTTTGAAGGATTCCAATCTGTCAATGTAACTAAATTCTGTACAAGTGAATCCCAAAAACTTATGTCCTTAGCATTAAACTTTTCAGGTGCCAATGTGCCATTGTATTCATTTTGATTCCAATATCGAGGTAAACTTGTAGCAAACTACATTATGCCAGTTAGCAAAACCATCAGAGGGTGCTGCAGTTCCCATTATATCTGATGTCGTGAATGGATATACGGATATACCACCTTTGTTGATGGCATCCTGGTTTATGAGTATGAAAGTTTTGATGCCCTTCATTTCCTCTTCATAGAACTCCTCTATATAACTTATCTTCGTATCCTTGGGGAAGGATGAATGTCAATGCTTAGTACATTAAGCAGAAGCTAGAAGTTACTTTTCTAGATAAGATATGACTTTAGGCGCCTAAAAATCTAGTACTTAATGTACCAAGCGATTGTATCAACCAATACTAATCCACTCTTGTGCCGGCCAATTTGTGGGAGCAAGGACAGTATGTTTAAGGTGAGTTGCCCGGAATTTTTGTTCTTGGGTGAAGCTAGCTTATTTGAATCTACTTTATTAGCTAACAGAATTGTTCTCTTTGAAGATAAAACCAACTAACACAATCAGCTGGTACAGATATCATCTATCAGCTTGTTGCCAAACAGGCCCAATCAGCAATGACAAGGAAAACAACTGAAACTGTGTAACATGAGATCAAATAATTTTACGGCGAATATCATATAGCTAGCGAACTACAATGTTCACAAAGCTGTAATCAAGAACATACGGAGTATTAGAAAACATGTACAATAAGAAGAAGCTTAGATTGTCAGATATATTGGTTTGGGTTTATCTTTTGGTAGTCATTGTTGATTACTAATTTACTGATAAACATGCCTAGGTAATATTGAAAGAAGTACAAGCCTAAAATTGTAAGTATCAAAGTTCTGTTTATATATGTATAGGAGGGCTGCCTTTACCTCATATAGTCATATAATATAACCGAGTATCCCTGTCAACTGTTTCTCCTTTGTCCAAAACATGTAGAGCTGCTTACAGACACCCTGAGATAAAAACAGGGAAAAAATTACATCAATTCAACAAAATTATCATATGGCAGGAACAAGTTGTGGAATAATTGAAGACAGTAAGAACTGTAAACTTAACTTATAGTACTGTTTGTAACTGTCAGTGTGTATGGTAATCTGCATGAATGTGCAGTGGTGATAGTATTATAGGTAGGGTATATTAACTCTTGTTGTTGACTACAATACTTTTGCCTCTAGGATCCGGTAAAAAATGGTGTTTTAATGGTTCAAACATTCCGCAACAACATGATGGCATCCACCCTATTGGCAACTACAGCTATTACTCTGAGTTCAGTCATCGGTGTCTTTGTGAGCAGTACCTCAACTGTTACGAATGCATCCTCCAGACTAGTTTTTGGTAACAAGAGCCAGATCGTGTCAGCAGTAAAGTATTTTGCACTCATCATTTGTTTCCTAGTAGCCTTTCTCTGCAATGTCCAGTCACTTAGATATTACGCGCATGTGAGTTTTTTGGCTACCTTGCCTACATCACAAGGCAAAAGAGAAGCTATGGAATATGCTGCTCGAAGCTTGAACAGAGGGAGTTTTTTCTGGACTCTTGGCTTGCGAGCCTTCTACTTATCCTTCCCCCTCTTCCTATGGATCTTTGGACCCATCCCTATGTTCGGTTGCTGTTGCTTAATAACCCTTGTGCTCTATTTTCTAGACACTACCAACGATTTTACGCGACAGCTTCACTGCGAGTCCATGAAAGACATAGATTATAGTTTTAAAGAGCCTGCTACACCCATATAAATTATTTTTTATGGAAGCATGTAGTAGAGTGTAATATAATGTACCTCATATCTTTGCTTTTTTTTTTTTTTTTTTCAATTCTTTTTTGATATACTGATTGAATATGAATGCCTTTCTATTTACTATACTAGCGTTACTCTGAGCTATTGAAGGAATCCAATTACTCTTTATGTTTTTCGTAAGCTTCTCATTTGTATTTTGGTGCTCCGCTTGGAGAAAAATGAAGATTTCATTGACCTTGTTAGAGCTCAATTAATCTATCAATTTACAGATTAAATTTCTAGGGGTAGGTATTAAATATATTATTTCATTTATGTTGACAGCTGGTTAGTTGTAACAAACTTGTGTATAAATAGCTTAGCCTACACTTATACTCATTTGTAACAAACTTTTCTGATTTCCTTAATACAAATTTCTCTTTCTTCTTCATCTCTCTTACAATTCTATATAGTATCAGAGCCGAATCTCAATCCAGATTAGGTTTAGTTCTTCATTCGATTTCTTTGATTGAATTCTTCAATCATACTCTGTTTTCCTGCTGATTCTGTTGATTTGATTGTTCGATTGCAACGATTTCTTCGATGTGAGGAATCTTCTTGCATATCTTAAACATTTGGTTTTTTATTGCGATTTTTCGTAATCAATTTGGTGATATAATTCTTTGATTTCTTCGATTGCTTCTCTCCTATTGTTTTAACGGCGGCGAAGGATGCTACTGGCCATATGAGTTCTCAGAGTTCGTTGAATTCTTCTGGAGGTAATCTTGATCCTTAATTCATTGCGAATTAAGATAATCCTACTGCTTTGTTAGTAGTTGTTCAATATTCTGGTCATAATTTCATAAGATGGAGTCGTAGTGTTAAGTGTGCTTTCACTGCTAAAAATAAAGATGGTTTCATAACTGGTAGTATTAAGCAGCCTGAGTTTACTGATAAAGATTATAAAAAATGGAAGAGAGCAGATTATATGGTGGTTAGTTGGATTATGAGTTCAATGAATGCTGAATTAGCCGATGATTTTGCTTATATTGAGTCATCGATCAAACTATTGCGTGAATTACAAGAGAGGTTTGGTCAATCTAATGGTGCTTTGATCTATCAGCTCAAGAAAGAAATTGATGCGTTGAAACAAGAAAATATGACCATAATTGCTTCTTATGGGAAAATCAAGAAGTTGTGGGATGAATTTCAGAGCCTGAGAGCTTTTCTTGTATGTTCATGTGGTGCATTAAACTATTATGTATTTGTCAATTCCTCAAGATACTGGCAGATCTTGATGGTGAAGATAGGTTAATGCAATTTTTGCTTGGACTAAATAGTGGTTTTGATTCGACAATCACTAATATTTAGTCAATTGATCCTTTACCTACTATCAATAGAGCTTTCTCTATTATACAACAGATTGAGAAGCAGAAGGAAGTAAGTGGTTCTGGTGAGATTATTGCTGAGAGTAGTGCTACGGTTGCTCAACGTATGATGAGGAATGGAGGTCAACAAAGGCCTAATAAAGGAAATTTTAGTCAAGGTAGCTACAATCAAGGAAAAAGAGATTGGAAGAAGGAGAAAATAGATAAGAAATGTGATCATTGCAAACTGAAAGGTCATATAATTGATCAATGCTTAAAGTTGCATGGATATCCTGACTGGTATAATGCTATTAAGGCATCAAAAGGGCATGTTAGTCAGTATGTTGGTAACAGGATGGCTGCTAATGTCAATCAAGAACAAGCAGAATCTCCATTTGATCTAAACAGCAATGCAAACTCTAGAGCTGTTGATTCAGAAATGTTAAGTGCTATATGTCAGGAAGTGACGCGCTCGATGAAAGGAAAGTAGGTTGCTAATTAGCCTAGTGTTTCATTCGCCAACTTTGCAGGTACGAAATCTTGTTCCCTTAGTTTTACAGTAAATAATGTTGCTGATAATGTTTTGTGGATTATTGATTCTAGAGAATGTGATCACATGATTTATGATGAAAGTCTATTGGTGAATAAAAGAGTACTTGATATACCAATTAGAGTAGTATTGCCTGATAGTACTTACAAGTATGTGAAATTGGTTGGTAGTTGTAGACACCTAAAAATGTCTCCCCAAAACCAAACCTTATGATGAATAATCTTTCACCTCCATTATTGGTCGGGTTGAGTACTTAATCTTTGGAGCGCTTAAATCCATGTTCTATCCAATACGTTTCATAAATTAATCCATTTCCTAGCTTATTTCCCTAAACCATAACTTGTTTTCCTCTTTTCGTGTCCACATCACAAAACCGAGAGAAACTGATTTTTTATAGGACTTGAAATAAGCTCCAACCATATATCATAAGCCCAATTCCTATTTAAAACGAAGAAGATATGAGCAAAACACTAAACTCAGCCCAAAACCGACTCCCTTCCACTAAAACGACCATATCTTAAAATATACAACTGATTTTGACCTCATTCAAACTGGGTTTTGAAATTAGACTTAATATGATTTCCAATGATATATTATATGCTTTATTCCAAGTTACGGATCAAAAGTTATCGTAATTTTAAAAATGCGTAAAAAACTGGAATTACCGCGCAACAATCAAATTGTCGTGTCGCGGCAAAGGCATACATGTCACGGTGCCTTCTACCATGACACGGTAGTTTGTCCCGTGTCACGGAATAGTCACAGTACACATACCGTGACACGGTGCTTTGTTTGTGTCATTTCCGCGTTCTTTCTCGCAATTTAAGAAAAAACAATTTACCGTGACACGGTGGAATTTACCGTGCCACGGTGGACGTTGCCACATCACGGCATCAATTACCATGTCGCGGTACACATACCGTGACACGGGAAATATCCGCATGCTCTTTGCGTACCAGACTTCACGCATTTTCGTATTTAGGGCTATATTCTTTACCGCGCCACGTTAGAATATACCGTGTCATGGCACTGTTTGCCGTGTCGCGGCAAACTCCGCCGTGTCTCGGTGCCCCAAAACTAAGGGTTTTATCCTTTCTAGGGTTCCGTGTGATCCCCTACTCATTGCCTCTATAAATACCCCCTCCTTTCTACTGTTTGAGGCAACAAATCCTGCTCTCTTTCTCTCTTTTACACCAAAAATTATTCTCTTCTCTCTCTCTCATATTCTCAGCCTAAAACTATATTCCTAATTACACCATTTTTCCCTTAAGCACTCCAAAGAGTCCAAACTTAACCCGAGGTTCCGTCCTTAAACCAAGGCGTGGAAGGTATAAATAACTTAAAGTTTGAACCAAATCAACTCTACTTTTTATTTAATTTAATTTAATTTCCATTTTATTTATATTTTTTTATTGAAGTTACTAAAAATTTATTCATCATTTAGCAATTTAAAGGAACGCGCGGAATGTGAGTAATTAATTAATTTAATTACTTATTTTATTTTAATATTGCTAGTATCATGATTAGGTTATTTTATATTTTATTTGACTAACGTTATTATTGTTAAATTGCTTCCAATATTAATTTTTGTTCTATTATTATTATTATTATTAAATATGATCACCATATTGCATGTTTAAAGGGAATATGTAATTGAAAATCACGCCTAATAAGATAATTTGGACAACCGGTTTATGTTCCTTTTGATGGGTGTCATAAATGACACCCATTTGATGAGCATTTAGGTTGTTTTTACCTTCTTTTCATGACTTTAATGCTTAATAAATGCTTAGTTTTATGCTTTTGGTCTTAGTCTTACCTTTCCTCTCTTATTTTGTAGCTTTTGTGCATTTCTATGGTTTTCTAGTCTTTTCTCCTTTATTTGCTCTATTTTCGTGGATGTAGGTATTGCATGAGGTTCGAGTCTTGATATTGGTGATTTACTAAGGTGGAGAAAGCTTTTGGAGCAAGCTCATGGAAATTGGAAAGCTCAAGATGCAAGGAAGTGGATTCTCCAAGTTCTAGCTCTTGCGCTCTCAAGCCGTGCTCTCATGAATATGGGGTGTTGAACCCACAATCATGTGCTTTTGGGACTGCCTCACTTAGTGTTCATCATCGTCATGATTGTGCGTTCACTCGAAGACCTTAGCGAACGCACCAAGTCGCGAGAAAGTTGGAGAAACCCAGAGATGCGCGGCGCGCAAGGCACGGGCGTGGGCGCGCCACCCCTACAGCACGGGCTCCCCTTCCTGGGTATTTGTTTGCTCGGTTTCTTTGTTTTCGTGCCTCTATAAATACCTTTGTAAACTCTATTTTTAGGGCAAGTTTTAGAAGAAGTATTATTCTAGGTTTTTTTTTTTTTTTTTTTATCATAATATTAGCTTAGTTGAGAGCTTCTCTCTCTAGTTCTAGGGTTAGTTTAGGAGTAGATTTTAGAGAGTGAAAGTGAGGAATTTCAATGGTGATTGAGAGATTGAAGATTCAATGGTAACAATTGTGTTAGAGATCTTCTCTATTATCAATGAGCATTCTTAACTCTATATCATTTTATTGCTTTGTTTGATTTCATGTTTGTTTAGTTTGATTTTGATGTTTGATTGTTGATTAGTGTAGTTGTTCTTCACATATTGTTGATTCTTGATTTCTTTAGTTGTTAGTTGATTAGATGATGATGTTAGAGTGGTTGTTTGCTAGGAATTGGGTGAAACTTTTATGATTAATTGATTATGCTTAATTTGGGAATTGTGTTGATTAATTGTTGAGATTAAATCAATTAATGGATGTTTGCATGTGTGTAATTTCTCGTCATTTGCATACCTTCTCTCTTTTGAAATGTGTAGTAGTGCATTTGACAAGCTCTTGCGTGCGTTGAATTATTATTTTCTAGAGCGGTCAAGCTTGGACCTTAAGCAAGCCTTTCTCGGGAAGTAACCCGTGTTTTATTGCTTTCATTTTCTTTTCTTTTTAGAATAGATTTTCTCTCATGCAAATGTTTGTGTGCCTTTTTCTAGGTACATGACTTGATATACTTTGGTGCTTCAATTTGGATCAATAATCAAGGAAGTTTGACTCCTATTTTTGCTAGCATATGGAAGGTAAGGTTCAATTCTTGAGGAAATTAGCTTTGAAAGGTACCTAATATCTGGTAATATCCTTCCTTGCTCTTTCTTAAGTGGATTATGACTTGTTGGACATATATTGGTTTGATTGGATTGATCTCCTTGTTTTCCCCTCCCATGGATGATTTGATTTATGTTTGAGCATGTTATCTCATTCAAGCTTGGGGGAGGGTATTCTATCATGTTTGGTGGGATATTGATTCATATATGCTATGCACCTTTGTATATGCTTTTTCATGTTCTTTATTTTGAAAAATCCCAAAATTTGCAATGTGTCTTTGTTTCGTTCTTGCTTTGGACATAATATTTTTGGACTTGTATAGTTGAATGCTTTTTGTTTCGGGGTCTTCTGATGTCCTGCGGGAGAGTTACAATTCCGAGACTGGAACCGGACGCCTGTACCTGCAAAATAACGGAGACTCCTGAGAGCTCCGCCTCCAACGGTCAAGTTAGTACCTGATTAAGGAGTAATTAATGCGGAAATTAAAGTAATAAGGTCTCTCTAGGTGAGAGTGTTTAATGTTGGTAATCTGCTTTGTTAGCGAGATCAGCCGGTAATTAGTGTGTTCCGTAATGTTTCTGTTCTGTTCTTCAGGTGAGATTAATTGCTTGATCCCCTTTAATGAGGATTAATTAAGTATTTATAGTCTTGAGAAGCGTGCCACTCTCTAGGTTTAGGGTAAACCTAGGGCTGACCGGGCCTCTAAACAGGATTGGGCCTTGTTGGCCGGTTTTCCCATTTGGCATGGGTGGACACGTGGCGTGTCTCAATTGGTCCGTAGAGGACGTATCTGTGATTGACACGTGGCAGGCTCCTATTGGCCTACGTGAAGGACACGTGGCGGAACCTGGTTGGTCCACTTGTCAGACGGTGATTGGTGGATAAAAATCCCCTAATCATTTGCCCCTCACAGGTGGCACGTGACTGGTCACGTGTCACCTGTGACAGGTGCCGCACGGTGACAGGCGACGGCCTGCTACAGGTGTCACCTTGCAAATGGCCAAGAGATTTTCCCGCCCAAATTTTGAATTTGGAAGCGACCCTTCGCCTTCTCACTTTGCCTATATAAGGAAGTGCTGACTTCGGTCATTTTCACATTTGAGAACTTTGCGAGAACATTCGGACCCCTGAACTTGCTCTGACATTTCGGACCTTTTCTGCCTACCGCCTGTTCTGACAAGCCGACTGCACCGGATTTCCTGAACTTCATCAACCGTCACTCGTTCAGGTAACTCAGTTCTCTTACTCTTAATTTTCTTTTTATTTTTTGAAATGGCACCACGGAAGCACACGACACGACCTAAGTTAGTGATAAGCCGGTCACCGGGGACGGCTGAATCTAGGACTAGGAGTGCCGCCTGCCCTTTTCTGGACCCATCTTTGCCCTTTATACAAAGTCCGACTGTATCTGTGTCTATGCAGAACGTGATGGCCAGAACAAAAAAGACTGCTATGATCTCAAACTCGGACGGCTCCTCCCAAAGGGTGCTCATTAGTGAAACATCTGACCAGGCGCCAGATGTAGAAGTGAAACGAGGCGGCTGCCAAGCCGACAGTTCTGAGGGAGGGGTCAAGGTGGTCCCTTCCCATTTCACCGTTGATATGTCTACTTTTCCTCCTGCTCCTTCTAAGGGAGAGGAGGCGGGCCCCTCTGGGAGAGGGGAGGAGTCGTCCTCTTCGGACTCGTTAGAGGACGAGTCCGAGTCCAGCTCTTCTGGCCACGCTTCTCCAGGCTCAGAAGAAAGACACAGCCGCCTACAAGAGGCGAGGCTTTCTCATGCAGTTGAGAAGGGGGACAATTGGGCGGAGCCGTCCGCCTCTTACAGAGAGGAAAACACCCCCTACTACTGCATGGTACCCCGGGGCCGGATCGCAGCCATGCAAGACAAAGTGGAGAGCTTTATAGCTAACCACAGAATGGGCCCCGAATTTTTACTGTTCGTGCCGGATCCAGAAGACACTGTCGTCTGGCCGGCTGGTACCAGCTATGATGACGGCTGCTTTGGCTGCTATGTGGCGGCCATCAAAGCTGGACTGCGCTTCCCATTACATCCGGCTGTTCAGCGGATTTTAGATGGGTATGATTTGGGGTTATGGCAGTTAGCCCCCAACTCTTGGGTAAACGTACTCGGCTATGTGGCCGGGTGCGAAATGTACGGGGTGGAGCCAAGCTTTGAGGCTTTCGCCCACATGAACTATCTCAGCCGGACCCCTAAGTCGGGAGGTACCGGCTGGTATCAATTAACAAGCCATAGGGGTTACCTCATGACGAGAGGTAAGGCGAACAAATGGAAGGATTGGCGGAACACCTTCCTTATCATCGAGGGTTCAGACACGGAGCTGAACCAACGCTTTAACAAGTGGAATAGGGATCCGCCTCTTCTCGCAGGCGGCCGCAGCATGCCACCTGTTCCCCCAAAGGCTAAAAAAGAGATCCTAGACAAAGGACTCTTCAAAGTAGAGACTAGGGTGAACTCTACTTCAGGGGTACGAGAGCAAGTACCCCTAAACTGCGTCCCGAGCTTCAAGTGGCTCTATGACGAGTACTTTTTGGCCGCCTGTGGCCTCAGCAGTCGGTGCTCTAGAGGTAGCCGGCCTGACAAATACTCTGTTTTTTCACGCCTTGTTTACTTGGGATCTTTACTAACTTTGCTGTTTATTTTTTTTGCAGCTGACGCCATGAGTAAAATAACAGCATCCAAGACTGCGGCGGCCATGTTGCGGGCCTCTCTCATGCAACAGTCTTGTACCGACTCCCCTAACAAGGGGGCACCCTTGGTAGGCTTCGAAACTCTTCCTCTTTTAGGAGTTGTCTTATGCATATACTAACTCTTTATTTTTTTTATTTTATTTTTTTTTTCAGTCGGGCACTCCAAGAGCTTCTTCCTCGCAACAGCCGGACCCCAAGGCCCGGAGGATGACTGTTGCAAGCTCTCCTGGGTCTTCCAGGAAAACAGTGGCGGCTGAGAAGCAGCCGGCCACTTCTTCTAAAACCCCGGCGGGGCCGCCTAGAAGTATGGACAATTACTTGTAAAAACTTTTACACTTGCTTCCTTCTTGACTAGGTCTAACTTGCTTTTTTACGCTTGATGCAGCCGGCCCTCAGGGGCTTGACTTGGTAGAGGTAGCCAAGTCCATGATCAAAGTAGTTCCTCCATCTGAAAGGGAGGCGGTTAGAGGTGCCGGCACCCTTGACCTTGATGGGATTGCAGGGGTCCTTGCTGAGGTATACTTTTTGAGTATTTGAATTCTAGGACGCCTGTTATCTTTTTTGTTTGGAAACTGACGCCTGTTTTTTTTTTATACT